CAATCGTTTGCGAGTGGAAGCTGAAGCGTGCTCTGCAGGACACGGAGGCGCCAGCGCAGTCACTTGCATTTTTTTCTAACAGTGGAAACAACTTAATACGCAGTCATTTTTGCTCATAAAGGTAAGAGTAATACGTCATTCTAAACTGTAAAGGGTCTAGTTTTATTTGTGTGCACTCACAATATCAACAAAACTTAATACTATAATACGTTGTGCTTTTATAAAATAAAGAAAACAAACGCTTTCTGCCGTCTCGGGCTTGAGCGCTTCACAATGATGAACCTAAACTCAGACATGATCAAAATATATAGAAAGCTTTAAATTACTACTTTAAAACGAAATAATTCAAATCGAAAATAGAAACTCTTTCATTATGTAATCTGTGCATTTCTCTCTAAAGGCACATCCAATTAGGGGAGATGGCGAGTCATTTTTTCATCACTATAATTGATGGAAGGCCCGATTATAATTTGCGTTTTATTTTATAATTCCGTACAGTTAAAAAATAAAACACTAATTATAAATGGCATATATGTAAAACTTTGTCCTATAATTGTATAGCTGCTTTTTCTGACTTTTATGTTGCTCTGTTCTGAATACCTTAAATTTTAAAGGATTTGCTGCAACGCAATTTTTTATGATATGTTAATAATTTATATTTTTTATCCATGCAGCAAATGCTTTAAAAAACAGCTTTAAAATTACTTTATTGCATTCCAGACGCTTTTAAAGTACTTTTCACTATAAATTTTAGGGGTAGCTTGAATGTAAACATTGTCATGAATTCGTTGTATTCCCATTTGTAAAATAGCCAACAAATTAATTGTTGTAGGCTAACCCGATCTCATGAAAGTGCATATAGCACGATTTTCTGCTTCTATTTGGCGTAATATTTCTATGCAGAAATTGACTTTGGCATGCAAAAGACTGATAAATTCATAATTAACGGCATGGGTTCAGTCGACAGAAATACGGGACACAGAGGCCTATAATAACTGCTGAAATGTTTGCGCGGCAAATCTGAGGTCAGTCTGAGCGCTCATGGTACTCACAGTCAGTGTTGCCAATTTAGCGACTTTTCAGACCCCTTGGCGACTTTTTTTTCCAAAAAAGCGACTAGCGACAAATCTAGCGACTTCTTGGACAAACCTTAGCGAGTCTCTGTGATCGCTGGTACTGACGTAACGGCGCGAGGTCAGCGCGCGCACCTCTCTCTCTGCGTCTGCTCTGTACAGCGAGCGGCTGAGAGGAGCAGCGCCTTCAGTTAAAATACATATTATGTTGCTTCTCTAATTTTACATGCAAATATAGCCGAGATCACAGCACAGGAATTGTCTGTGTCTTGTCTTTTCGTATGTGCGTTTCATTTCATGAGACGATGGCTCAAATATAAAGCAGGATTTTTGTGCAGATTAACGTCTTGGAAGGGAGAGCTGGTTATGTAGTCTTAAAGGGCCGCATTTCAGTCACTATTTCATATTTATTC